ATGTAAAGGTAGAAGTATCTTGTACTCCCGTTTAACTTTAGTTGCAATCTTACTTTTTCAATTTGAAGTATTCAAAATTAGTTATTCATTTTTAAAAAAAATATTATTTAATGTATTTACTCATATTATAATAGGTATGTTTATTTAAGTAGTAATTAATTATGAATAAAGATCAAATTTGATTCATTAATTATTACATTTTAATTTATTAAATAAAAACAAATCTAAAATTGAATGGAGGGAATAAAAAAATTTTGTTGGTTGATAAAAAAAGGAGTGTGGAAATTTGTGTTAATTACAGAGCATTTGGTACTATTTTCTATGTCCGAACGTCATCTGTCACCAACCCACCATAATAATACAAAACGACTCGAGATATATTCCTTCTTAGTTCGGTTTGGAGATGCCTAGTAAGTCCAACAAAGTAAACTCATACCAAAAAGATAAAGTAATAATGCATCAATTCTCTCTTAGTCTTGGTTTTGGATTCATAAACTTTGCAATATTCTCATTGCTTAATGTTTGTACCTTATCAATCATTAATATTTCCCTGCATGAGGTTGCTCTTCTTTTCTTTTTAGCGAAAGAAGGAAAACAAGTACCAATCAAGGGCTAATTAATGGCATTCCCTAAAGGAGATACGTCTGCTTTTGATCGACAAGGTATTGCCCCAACTGAACCTAGTGCTCCAAATGTAGAAATCGTCTTGAACCAACAACAAGATCAATTTCACCGGCCGCAATCAGTGGACATCGTCCGGTTTTGGGAATTCCACAGACGTCCCAATATCCACCGCGGCCACCACAACATCCATAGTCCCCATCATAGGCTAACCAAGCTTTTCGGACTCATCTTGGCTATCCACAATCATTTCCTGCTCCACCTATACACTCAAGTGGGTTGAATCATCAGCCTGGTCCTTTCCTACCTCAAATGATTCAACCCAATTTCCCTCCTAATGTTGTACCGCCTCCAGCACCACAGTATCCTCAAGTGATTGGTGTCATTGAGGGTTGGGAAACTGGTTTATTAGATTGCTTGGATGATCCAACAAATGGTATATGGTAAAACTCTCATATATATTTTTCTTAATTTCTCCAAACACAAGCATAGCCTTTGAACTACAACTTAATTCATTATCAGCTATTTGCTTAATTATTCATTATGTGTTTCAGCTATCATTACAGCCTTCTTCCCTTGCATGACATTTGGCCAGCTTGCAGAAATAATGAACGAGGGTCATACTTGTAAGTAAATTTATAAATGTTTGGTAGAGTAAATTAATTTTTTTCCCATAAATTTAAAATTTTGTTTGAAAGAGATTTAAATTTAACTTTTAAAGAAGTTTATTAACAAATTTTAATTTTAATAAAACTAACCTATAAATTATTTTAAAAGAGCCTTTTATTTAATTAAGCAAATGCATTAAGATCCATAGTCTAAACATGTTGGCGTTTCAAATTTTGCACTATATATTTGAACCTCTATTAGAAGCTTATTTAAGTATTTGATTAATGTGATGCAGCTTGTGCAACAAGTGCACTGCTTTACGGATTGGTGGCATTTCTGATTGGGGCACCGTGTCTATTTTCATGCGTGTATCGCGCCAAGCTTCGGAGCAAGTTTGCGCTCATCGAGTCCCCAGTGCCAGATTGGGTTATCCACCTCCTTTTTGAGCATTGTGCTCTTTGTCAAGAATACAGGAAGCTGAAACATAGAGGCTGCGATCCAACCATAGGTATAACTCTGCGAATCAATAAATTTAAACCGTTGAAACTAATGCAACTAATAATGTCAGTTGTATATAATGAAATGTATCCTTACAGTTGAGTAAGTCTTACATAAATTATCTGTTGTTGATTTCTAAATTTAACCATTAAGATATATTACGTACTTTGTTCTTTTTTCTTGCTGTTGTTAAGGATGGCGTGGAAATGCAAGTAGAAATCAGATCATGATGATGCAGAATCAGCAAGCTACAATGATGCCTCTAGGGAGCCAAAGGATGATGGGATGATGGGTTTTGTTGAGTTATCATGAGGAATATTAATTATCACTAAGTAGATCTGATTTCATTTTTAATATATTTATGTCCTTTTCCTCCCAGTAATTTGCATTAACATATTCCCTCTTTGGATAGGAAAAAAGAAAATAAAATGTTTCAATCCAGCCTGAGGACTTGGGGGACTATAAGCAGAATTTCCAAAACATTTCCAGTTTCTGTGTGTGTGTATATACATACATACATACATATATATATATATATATATATCGCATTTCTTGTTCTCAGCTTGGGTGTGGATAATATTCTGGATGCTATTGTTCATACTTCATGGTTCTTTATTATTATTTTCTAAATTGATATTAGTATTGCTGGTGTTAGATGGCTCATTCCTTGTCTCCTAACACGTGTTCTCTTGTTTAGGAGAAAAGGAATATTTCTCTTGTTTTGGTTTTAATTTTAGCGATATATTTTTCTTTGGAAAAATTATATTTACACACGTACATTTTTTTTATCATGATTAAATTATTATTTTTAAGAGATTGTGAAAAATTAAAAACTCTTGACAATTAAAATATTAAAAATAATAATAGAAAAATTTTAAATACACCAATATAGGTTAATTAAGGGACAGTTAAAATGATAACGGATCAGTTTTGTTCCACTTGGAAGATAAAGATTGCTAATCAATCTTAACTCCACAACATATATAATTCTATATATATAAAATACGAGAATTTGGACCTTTAACTTGGTTAATTATATTAGTATTTGTTGATTACCCACCAAGTAAAGTTTCGATATTAAGGGTGACAAATGTAACCAATTGAAATTGTAGGCCCTAATGGCATTAAAACACTTCAAATTAGCATTTTTATCATGATTTATATTATACCTTACAATTTGAGTCAATTCTAATAAATATTGATAATATAACACCAAAAAGAGGAGAATTACTTTAGATTACTAACATTAGGGAAAATAAAGAAATCATGCATCACTCCTCTAAACATTAAACAAATAAGACCATGAATGTTATTGGATTGGTGGAGGAATTGATTTCAAACAAAGTTTATACAAGGGTTTATTAAAATCCAGGGTCCAATGCAAAGAGTGATCATTTAAACAAACTCCATGATGGATTCTCCTTGGGAAGCAGAACCACTCATTTGTAGCCCTACTACTAAGTAAATTGGGCTGAATCTTGGTGGCTTTAAAGCTTGGCAAGAAGCATAGAATGGTAGACAAAAACCAATTTCATTATAAGTTGCATATTGGAATTCAAATTTGAATTATGGGAAAGGTAGAAGTTAAAAAAAGGGGGGGGGGGGGTGAAGAAAAATCGAATTGAAAATCGTTATACAAACCTTGATCATAGAGACTTAGAAGAAGCGCCTTCTCAAAACACATTTCCAATGGATTTGATGATCGGAGAATTTTCAGAACAATTTGAGATGTTTTCGAATGGGACCGAAAGCATAATCTGGCTCGCCCCTCCCTTTTGATTTTTGTATTTTCCCTGGCCCATCCGCATTCCCATTGGGCCTGGACAGTGCCATAATTTTGGGTTTCGGCCTGTTTTCTGCAGACAGAGAATAGAAGGCCTTCCCTATTGGGCCGTCTGCTTTGACTATTTTGGAGGGTTGAATTTATTATTTAGTTTATTAACTTAACTATTGACGTATTATCACTCTAGTTTATAAAGTTTATTTCTCCCAAATTTATCTAAAAACTTCAAAAAAGTCATATCAAAATGGATTGTATATGTTAAAATTCTATTGTTATTCTAACGAAATCCTGAGTTAGTGACTATACAGCACTACACAAACATCAGGTAGTTCAAAAAGGTCACATTCTTATTCATAATTAATCTCAAGTTTCTTATTTTATCAATCTTTTGATCATCGATCACTTTGGATAAAACAATTTTCTTGGGATGGAAAAAGTTCCTGGACAAGTTATCAACCAAGAAGAACTTAGACCCAAGAGGAATTCAAGTTTTTGGAGGCAATCTCAATTGTTTCTTGTGCAAAGAAGAGGTGGAAGATGCGAACCATGTGTTGCTTAATTTTCTTTTGCTTACCAAATTTGGTTGGAGGCCTTGCCATGGTGGGGCATTCTAACAGCTATGCCCGGATCAATTCAAGAAACTTCCAGGCAACTGGTCCCTGATTTAACTAACGAAAATTTGAGATTGATATTTTTCTTTTTAATTACAATTACTTGGCACACTTGGGGACATGAAACAAGTGATTCTTAATGCATGCGGAAGCTTCAGTAGATAGATTTGTTGAAATAATTCAGATTAAATCCTTTTTGTGGGTCAATCCTAAGTCCAAGGGCTAGAAACAACCTGAATAAGGATAGAGTTCTAGACTATTGTTAGGGAAGAAAAATCCCATATTAGTTAAGTGAGAGTTTTCAATCTCCTTGCAGATCTATAATTATGATGATAGATCTGTTTTAGAGCATATTAAAATTTTCTTTTCAGTAAACAGTAGTTGATGAAAAAAAGCTTTGCATTTTAGTGATAATGAAAATATATTTGAATTTAAATTATCAATTTAAGATATCAAAAGGCAACACTGATTTGCACAAATCGATTTGGCTTTTCATATTATTATTCCTCCATTCATATTACCAGAGCGGACGAAAAATTTGCAAAAAAATAAAAATAAAAATCGACAAAATACTAAAATCGACAAA